AGATAGATAGATAGATAGATAGATAGATAGATAGATAGAAAGAAAGAAACAGATGGACAGACGGACGGACAGAAGGAAGGAAGGAAGGAAGACAGACAGACATGAAACTCTGCATTTGTACTGTTGCAGTGCAGGCAGCATCTTGCACACCAGAGGTCGCCTGGTGGGTGTCTCGTGGCAGGAAGCTGGAACTAGTAGAGGGTGTGTTGCTCGAGGCCAGCTCAGTGCCCTCTACAGCTGCCTGGAATTGCCAGGTAGAGGATCTGAGGCTAAACATGCACTCCCGCCGCTCACATCTCAGCAGGCAAAGGTGGGGGAGACCGAAACCTCCCTTCATCGGCTCCTTGGACAGGAGATTCTCTGAGAAGAGGGGACCGTTCAAAGCTTCTCCCACATCCCCAACAGTAGGAATCCAGGTCCCTGCTGGCTCTCGGCTGTCACTACGGCGCTACAGGACACAGAGAGAGTGACCGTGGGGTTGCCCCAGATTTTATCTCCAGGACTCCCCCGCAATTCCCAAGAAGAGGCCTTCCCCGATCAATGAATTGATTTAAAATATTTTTACCCTGCCTTTCTCCTTATAAAGGACCCCAGGCAGCTTACATCACAAAAAGGACAGCATCCAAAAGCTATAAACAATAATTATGCAAATATTTAAAAAGAATTAAAGAAGTGATCGTATTAAAACAGTAAATAAAATCAATACTAAAAGCACCTTTAAAAGCAACAGCACAACAACCCAAATCTGAAAAAAACCCTCTTAGACTGCCAGTCCCTAAGGAATTAAGCAGACCCAGGAAGAAGAATTAACATGACATTATACAAAGCCAATATGTTTTTATCTCTGCTCTCGTCCAGCGAAGCTGCCAGACAGGGGAAAAGGTAAGCCGTCTATTTCACATTCAAAATTCCGGCACGCACCTGGTTTGTCCACCTGTTCTACTCTGACGTTACTTGGGAATCCAGTTTCTATAAGGCAGTGTTCAATAAGGGTGGCTCCGTATGCTGCACAGAAAAGGGAAGGGATACATTTAGAAGGCAGGCAAAACAGTGAGATTGAGACCTTTTTGACATTTGGCCCGATCGGTTTTAGGTGCACTGGCCCCAGAACAATAAATTTCAGCTCACACCAAGGGAGAACTGAGACATTTTGTACATATTTACAGCAAATTCATTTGGACCGTTTCCTCTCCCAACCCAAAGATCATCTGCCATTTTCAGATGAGATGCACGGTGCTTGGACATCTCATCAACAGGTGTGATCTTAGGATGCGACAAAAGCAGTGGAGCATTCCTAGTATCAACGCCTCATTATTTCATACGCCATAGTAGCATCTTTTAGTACATCTGTACTTTCCTATTTCAGAAGAAGTCAAAGGGGCTTGAAGCTCACCATTTGTTTATGTGTTTAAAATATTTTTACCCCCGCCTTTCTCCTTAAAAGGCCCCAAAAACAAAGCCAAGCATGAATAGTTCTTACGAAGATGTGGGTTCAGAACTCTCCTGACGTGATCGGCTTTTGGTGCGCTGGTTATTATTTCGGTCAGCCTAAGAAAGAGGGTGAGAAGGTCACCAAAGGTGAGCAAGTCCCTATGGTAATGCTCTGAAATGCCAGTCCGTGACAAGTAAAATCAGACAATATTTATTCCGTTCATGAAGAATCTGCCCAGCACAACGCCAGTCTCAGAACTGGGCAAACGGAAAGGAGTCTCGCACAGCAGGCATTAAAAGAGGTGGCTTCTGGGCCACGAAGATTCGGCCACTCATGCCTCCTTCGGGTGCCCCAAGATTTTCTTTCACACACCTATTATAACGGGGCTGAGCATGGCTCTCGGGATTAGGGCACCTTTTACTGAAGGGCTAGGAAAAGGAGGAAAATCACTCGCTGAAACCAGAAACCAGAGTAAAAGGAAAGAAGGTAAAAAAAAAGGAAGAACACCGGCCAGAGAGGGTGACCCTTACGAACAGCAACCTTCCCCAGGGTCTTAAAAGAGGTCAGTGGCGTTCAGCCTTTGAGGACAGCTTGGGTCCCAATTCAAATCCCGTGACAATGAAAGACCTACCTTTCTCGATCAGGCAAGGGGGCTGCTCCTTTGGCACCATCGACTGGGTAGTGTTCCCGCACAGCAAACTTCACGTCATCCGCTTCATCTGTGCGGAACCTCAAGATATTGAGGATGAGGTACTGGTGGTCCGTCAGAACGATGTTGCCCTGCAACCAACCCAAGCACTGCGTCACCAAAGGAGCGACCCCCAGAGGTGGCAAACGATATTGCAATCTGGATTTGCCCCCAAAACCAGGACGACAGAGGGGGCAGCACACAGGCAGGTCTAGCCTAGACCCAATATTTGGCACCCTTCTGAAGGCTCTCCTTAAGAACCCATACAAAGAAGGCAGGAGAAGGGCCAGGCATTCACTGGGAAGAACCCCCTAAAGCTGTGGTCCCCAACCTTGGGCCTCCAGAGGTTCTTGGACTTCAGATCCCAGAAATCCTGGTCAGCAGAGGTAGAACATCAGAGAGAGACCTCTCACTGGTTTTCTCCCCAACACAATACAGACACAAATATATGTTCAAATGCATTACCAAAACTGGCCACTAGAGAGCAGGAGAGATCATGTTATGTCTTCTTCACTAACAAGTATTCATAGTGTGGTTTCTGACTCCCTCCAGTGGAAGGTTCTGGTAATACATGTGGAAAAAAATTTAAATGTTTTTTTCTTTTAATATTTTCAAACTGTGGATAAGTGAAACCACAAATACTGATCTTGTGGATACAGGGGTCCTATTGCACATAGTATCAGATGGCAAAGTAAGCCCCCCTCCCCGCTGGGAAGAAGTGGGAGAGAAAGCAACCAAAGGTCCACTCACCACAATGGCTGTCATTGTTATTTGTGCCATCAAGTTATTTATAGTGACCCTAATAATATTTTCACATGTACTACCAGAACTTGCCACTGCTTGCAAGATCAGTGTAATATTTAAGGAGTGGCTTTACCAGTTTCACTCCCCAAGTGAGTCTACATGGCCAAGTGGGGATTTGAACCCAGGTCTCCAGAGGCCTAGTCTGTCACTCGCTCCACTACGCCACACAGAGTATCACCACAAAGGGGCTTTCCCAGAACTCTCTGCCTCCACTTACCCTGTCGTAAAGCTCTATAATCAGATGGTAGGCGGCTTCATCGCTCCCAAACTGGAAATCTACTATTCTGTCAACACCCAGCTGCTTCACACTCACAAGCCGCCTTGTCTTTAAATGTTTGCGACACTGCAAGGAAAACACAAGAAGGTATATGGAGAGCCGTAGGTACTCAGCAACAATGTTGTGTGCCACCCTGCTCACAAACCTACAAAGCCACCATAGCCCCCCACCCCCACTTGGCCACCTGGCCACTTCTTCTCCCCTGGCATCCTTGAGAAATTTTCATTAGCAAAAGATGACAGCATTACCTTCATTGCAAAGCCCGAGGGCAGCATGTTCTTCGGCCACTCAAATTCTGTGGTGTGAATCCTGATTCCAGATTCCAGGAGAAGTGTCGCCTTGACGTCGGGCCTAGAGACAGCAAAAAAGCATCAGGGGAAGGGAGGGAGGGGTCTCTTGACCATGCCTCGTTTCACTTTTGCTTCTTAAGGTCCCAGGACCGATCAGGCAGGTTCATATGCACAAAACCTGTCAGCTGGTCTTTCAGTTTTCACTAAATCAGATCTTGCTAAATCTGCATAACTCCATCCACACGATTTGCCGCCCCAAGTAGATATTGTCTAGGGGGGTATGGTAAAAATCAAATAAATAAATAAATAAATAAATAAATAAATAAATAAATAAAGAAAGAAAGAAAGAAAGAAAGAAAGAAAGATACCATGTTTCCCCCCAAAATAAGACAGGGTCTTATATTAATTTTTGGTCCAAAAAACGCATTAAGGCTTATTTTCAGGGCATGTTTAGAGTAGACCTTTGGTCTAGGTGGGCAGGATAGAAATCCATTAACAAATAAATAAATGTGGGTTTTTTTTCATAAACAGCAATCTACATTTATTCAAATACAGTCATGTCATCTTCTAGTTGCTGCAGAATGGTGGGTTTCACTAAACTGGGGATTATTTGGGGGGTAGGGTTTATATTAAGAGCATTCTGAAAAATCATACTAGGGCTTATTTTCAGGTTTAGCGGAAACAGGGTATATTTATCCCGTTTGCTATACAGAGAGCTGAGGCATGAGGTAGGAGGGAAGTATTTTAAGGTGTTAAGATTTTAAGAGAAGGCAAATCTTTCGGTTCCCTTTTGCCCTGACAAGCATGCTTGGCAAGTAAGAGATGCCTCCCTTTTTAGCAAGGATTTCAGCAACTGAACAAATGCCTAATATTACAAAATTAGAATGTGTAATCCTTAATCCAAAGTACCATCACTGAATTATAACACCATTTAAGTTAAAACTCTATTCATTACGCAGGGCTTTTTTAAAAAGAGATTTTAACAAGAAAACATATAAACATCCAATTTAAACAAAAGCTCCAACTGGAATTATAAATCCAACTTTCAATTTTTTAAAAAATTGTTTTTTCCCCTCTGTGCCTCCAGAGTAAAATTTGACCAAAAAAAAGGAGCAACACGTTTCCTTTCAAGTGGAAGGAATACTTTCATTTTTCTGGAAGAACTGTGTCATCATTATATGGAAGCTGGTTTTGAACTGCTAGGACTGACCAGGCTATGTGTTCGTGTCAGTTTGCATACACAGAGGGCAAACAGGATCAAAGCTTAGCAATATTTCAAACAAGAAAGATTTAGCTCTTACTTCTGAAGGCGAATGAGGTATGTCTTGTTATCGACGTCATACACATTGTTTACCCTCATTCCCAACAAGCTGTCAAAAAGAAGAGAGACATATCTATGTTGTCACACCATTGCATACACACAGTTTCAGAAGACTGTTAAGACACTGTTCAAAGTTCCTGGGGAAAAAAAATGATATTCTGACTGTAACTCAAAGGCAGGTCTTGCCAAAGACTCGGTAGTTTTTAACAAGAAGTTAAATGATGGTGCAATGTCAAAATGGCCAAAACATTCAATTTCAGTGGGGGCTGAATAATTTTGAACACAACTGTAAATGATGGTGCGACCGTCGTTCTTACGTGAGAGCGGCAGAAAGCGACAGCAGGTGTCGGGAGGTGGAAGAACGCAAAAGAAAGGCTTTGAAATGTTTTTGCTTTACATTCTTAGAATGAATGGAGTGAATTGTCTCTAGAGAGAGTTACTACCTTTAACTTGGTCATTAGGATCATAAGTCAGCCATAACAGAGAGTCAAGATTAAAACACAACACCCACGCCTATCACCTTTACAAGCAAGACAAAGCAGACTGAAATTCAGATTGCAACCAAGTATAATTGCTTGACCTTATAAAGGCTGTTATTTAGTCTCCTCCAGTCTTTTTGAACAGCCCCTGCACGGAAGTTTCCACCCTTGGTGGCAGTGGTTTCGTTGGAAGAATCAGAGAGGAGGGAAGAAATACAAAATCTGACAGGTCTACCTGGATATTTAACAGTTTTAAGCGGAGGAAACAAGCAGATTACAGGAATCCAGGAAGAGGAGGAGGAAGAGGAAAAGGGAGGAAGAGGAATAAGAAGAGGAAGAGGGGAAGGAAGAGGAAGGGGAGGGGAGGAAAAGGTGGAGAGGAAGGGGGAGGAAGAGGAAGAGGGGAAGGAAGAGAGGGGAAAGGGGGAGGAAGAGGGGGAGGAAGGGGGGAAGAAGAAGAGGGGAAGGAAGAGAGGGGAAAGGGGGAGGAAGAGGGGGAGGAAGGGGGGAAGAAGAAGAGGGGAAGGAAGAGAGGGGAAAGGGGGAGGAAGAGGGGGAGGAAGGGGGGAAGAAGAAGAGGGGAAGGAAGAGAGGGGAAAGGGGGAGGAAGAGGGGGAGGAAGGGGGGAAGAAGAAGAGGGGAAGGAAGAGAGGGGAAAGGGGGAGGAAGAGGGGGAGGAAGGGGGGAAGAAGAAGAGGGGAAGGAAGAGAGGGGAAAGGGGGAGGAAGAGGGGGAGGAAGGGGGGAAGAAGAAGAGGGGAAGGAAGAGAGGGGAAAGGGGGAGGAAGAGGGGGAGGAAGGGGGGAAGAAGAAGAGGGGAAGGAAGAGAGGGGAAAGGGGGAGGAAGAGGGGGAGGAAGGGGGGAAGAAGAAGAGGGGAAGGAAGAGAGGGGAAAGGGGGAGGAAGAGGGGGAGGAAGGGGGGAAGAAGAAGAGGGGAAGGAAGAGAGGGGAAAGGGGGAGGAAGAGGGGGAGGAAGGGGGGAAGAAGAAGAGGGGAAGGAAGAGAGGGGAAAGGGGGAGGAAGAGGGGGAGGAAGGGGGGAAGAAGAAGAGGGGAAGGAAGAGAGGGGAAAGGGGGAGGAAGAGGGGGAGGAAGGGGGGAAGAAGAAGAGGGGAAGGAAGAGAGGGGAAAGGGGGAGGAAGAGGGGGAGGAAGGGGGGAAGAAGAAGAGGGGAAGGAAGAGAGGGGAAAGGGGGAGGAAGAGGGGGAGGAAGGGGGGAAGAAGAAGAGGGGAAGGAAGAGAGGGGAAAGGGGGAGGAAGAGGGGGAGGAAGGGGGGAAGAAGAAGAGGGGAAGGAAGAGAGGGGAAAGGGGGAGGAAGAGGGGGAGGAAGGGGGGAAGAAGAAGAGGGGAAGGAAGAGAGGGGAAAGGGGGAGGAAGAGGGGGAGGAAGGGGGGAAGAAGAAGAGGGGAAGGAAGAGAGGGGAAAGGGGGAGGAAGAGGGGGAGGAAGGGGGGAAGAAGAAGAGGGGAAGGAAGAGAGGGGAAAGGGGGAGGAAGAGGGGGAGGAAGGGGGGAAGAAGAAGAGGGGAAGGAAGAGAGGGGAAAGGGGGAGGAAGAGGGGGAGGAAGGGGGGAAGAAGAAGAGGGGAAGGAAGAGAGGGGAAAGGGGGAGGAAGAGGGGGAGGAAGGGGGGAAGAAGAAGAGGGGAAGGAAGAGAGGGGAAAGGGGGAGGAAGAGGGGGAGGAAGGGGGGAAGAAGAAGAGGGGAAGGAAGAGAGGGGAAAGGGGGAGGAAGAGGGGGAGGAAGGGGGGAAGAAGAAGAGGGGAAGGAAGAGAGGGGAAAGGGGGAGGAAGAGGGGGAGGAAGGGGGGAAGAAGAAGAGGGGAAGGAAGAGAGGGGAAAGGGGGAGGAAGAGGGGGAGGAAGGGGGGAAGAAGAAGAGGGGAAGGAAGAGGGAAGAGGGGAGGAAGAGGAAGAGGGGAAGGAAGGAAGGGGAAGATGGGGAGGAAGAGGAAGGGAAGAGGAGGGGAAGAAAAGGGGGAGAGGAAGGGGGAGGAAGAGGAAGAAGAGGAAGATGGGGAGGAAGGGGGGAAGAAGAAGAGGGGAAGGAAGAGAGGGGAAAAGGGGGAGGAAGAGGGGAAGGAAGAGGGAAGAGGGGAGGAAGAGGAAGGGGACGGGAGGAAAAGGTGGAGAGGAAGAGGAAGAAGAGGAAGATGGGGAGGAAGGGGGGAAGAAGAAGAGGAAGAGGGGAAGGAAGAGGGAAGAGGGGAGGAAGCGGAAGGGGACGGGAGGAAAAGGTGGAGAGGAAGAGGAAGAAGAGGAAGAGGGGGAGGAAGGGGGGAAGAAGAAGAGGGGAAGGAAGAGAGGGGAGGGGAGAAGAGGAAGAGGGGAAGGAAGAGGGAAGAGGGGAGGAAGCGGAAGGGGACGGGAGGAAAAGGTGGAGAGGAAGAGGAAGAAGAGGAAGAGGGGGAGGAAGGGGGGAAGAAGAAGAGGGGAAGGAAGAGAGGGGAGGGGAGAAGAGGAAGAGGGGAAGGAAGAGGGAAGAGGGGAGGAAGCGGAAGGGGACGGGAGGAAAAGGTGGAGAGGAAGAGGAAGAAGAGGAAGAGGGGGAGGAAGGGGGGAAGAAGAAGAGGGGAAGGAAGAGAGGGGAGGGGAGAAGAGGAAGAGGGGAAGGAAGAGGGAAGAGGGGAGGAAGCGGAAGGGGACGGGAGGAAAAGGTGGAGAGGAAGAGGAAGAAGAGGAAGAGGGGGAGGAAGGGGGGAAGAAGAAGAGGGGAAGGAAGAGAGGGGAGGGGAGAAGAGGAAGAGGGGAAGGAAGAGGGAAGAGGGGAGGAAGCGGAAGGGGACGGGAGGAAAAGGTGGAGAGGAAGAGGAAGAAGAGGAAGAGGGGGAGGAAGGGGGGAAGAAGAAGAGGGGAAGGAAGAGAGGGGAGGGGAGAAGAGGAAGAGGGGAAGGAAGAGGGAAGAGGGGAGGAAGCGGAAGGGGACGGGAGGAAAAGGTGGAGAGGAAGAGGAAGAAGAGGAAGAGGGGGAGGAAGGGGGGAAGAAGAAGAGGGGAAGGAAGAGAGGGGAGGGGAGAAGAGGAAGAGGGGAAGGAAGAGGGAAGAGGGGAGGAAGCGGAAGGGGACGGGAGGAAAAGGTGGAGAGGAAGAGGAAGAAGAGGAAGAGGGGGAGGAAGGGGGGAAGAAGAAGAGGGGAAGGAAGAGAGGGGAGGGGAGAAGAGGAAGAGGGGAAGGAAGAGGGAAGAGGGGAGGAAGCGGAAGGGGACGGGAGGAAAAGGTGGAGAGGAAGAGGAAGAAGAGGAAGAGGGGGAGGAAGGGGGGAAGAAGAAGAGGGGAAGGAAGAGAGGGGAGGGGAGAAGAGGAAGAGGGGAAGGAAGAGGGAAGAGGGGAGGAAGCGGAAGGGGACGGGAGGAAAAGGTGGAGAGGAAGAGGAAGAAGAGGAAGAGGGGGAGGAAGGGGGGAAGAAGAAGAGGGGAAGGAAGAGAGGGGAGGGGAGAAGAGGAAGAGGGGAAGGAAGAGGAAGGGAGGAAAAGGGGAAGAGGGGGAGTCCCAAAGGGGGGCCAGATCCCCACCGGGCACCCTGCCCTTCCGATCCTCTCCCTCCCTCCCTCCCTCCCTCGCTCGCCCGCGCCTTCCACCGGCCGCACCTCTGCCGCAGCTCGGCTATGACGGCCCGGATGTCGACGGTGCTGAAGCGGGTCTTCATGGCGGCCCAAAGGCGCAGGACGGACGGCGGAGCTCCGCTCGCTTGCCCCGACAGGTGCCGAATGGCCCGTACGCATGCGCGCCGCGCCTCCTGGGCTACGGCGAGGCCGCGCGGCCAAACCTGTGCCGCTCCGAGCCGGCGAGTTTGGGGAGACCCAATGAGGGATGAACGGGGGCGGAGCCAAGCGAGAGGCGGTCTCCGTCGCCCTCTATCGGAGACTTTAGGAATGGCAGGCTGGGGCTGCGGTGCTCCTGCGGGACAGGTGAGCCGGACAGGTGAGCCCCGCCCGGGCCAAAGGGCATCCCAAGGAGGGGCTCTGGGGCTGGGAGTGAGAAGGAAGCGCCATCCGCAAAGTGATTGAGAAGGATGGTCTAGAAGCCCCTCCCTTTGTGGGTGGTCTGTGAACTTTGCCCAAGGTAAACAACCCCCCCCAAGAAGACCTGCGCTTCTTTCCAGGAGCGGAGCTAGGAAAGGCTCCTTTTCAGGACTACAACTCCCAGAGTAGCCACACTGTGGCTGATGGGTTTTGGGAAGAGTTCATCCTAGGTTTGCCGGCTAATTTAATGGTACAGTACGTATGTTCTGCTGTAACCTGCCCTGAATCTCTTTTGTGGTTCAAAGGCAGAATAAAAACAAATAACTACAAACAAAGCACACGTAGAATTGTGTTGTGGCAGAATAAGTGACACCAAGGATCCCAGGGTCTGATTATCCCACAGATGTCAGGATTAAAACTAGAACGTTGACACCGGGCTTTCTCATTATAATCCAAAAAGCTCCACGCTCCATGGACCAGATTTCCCCCACTGGTGGCTTCCCACCAGTTTGAACAACAAGTCCCATTGATCGGTGGTTCAGATGACCCATTCCAGCTGTGTCTCTTCTCCTGCATCTGCCTCCAACTTGGCTTCAATCAGCTGAATTTCTTCTGGCTGCTTCCCCTCTGCTCTGCATACATATATTCCAGAAGTCTCGGTTCTATGAGGATTTCCTATGCTCCGAGTATGCACCTTCTGCTCTAAAGCCCACGCCCAGGGAGAACGACTGGGTTTCCTCACCTTGCCTCCAAATGGCACTTTGCCAGGGACACAGGGCTGTGCCCCCCTACCAGCTGCTGGACTACAACTGCCATCATCCCTGCACACCACTGACCTGGCCATTGTTTGATGGGAGTTGGATCTGGAGGGCCACAGTTCTCCTGCCCCTGCTTAGAAAAGAATCTTCTAAATTACATCCCCCAAGGTTTCCTTGGCCAGTTCAAAATGGAAAGGCTGGGTCCCACTCTCTTGCTCAAGCTAGGCCACAGAAGCGACTCACGGGTGCAGTCCCCCCCCATTGCTCAGCACGGGGGTTTTGACCTGCTCCGTCTCCGACCTGGGCCGGTTCACCCCTCCTTAGGCAACCTGGTGGCCCCCGGCTCCCCAGGGACCCCCATATTGATGCTGACTTGAGCAGGGACACCAGCTCAACATAGCCCACTGCAGCCTAGAACTCCCGAGCTCAAGGAATCCACCAGCCTCAGCCTCCCGAGGAGCCAGGATTACAGGCAGGAGCCACCCTGCCCGGCTGTTTGCTAGCTGCCTGGAAGCTGCGTTTAACTTCCTGTGGTCCACCAGCCGGAAGATGGCAGCAAAGAGCACGAGACTGAAAGAATATTTCTAGGTGCATCCTTTACCTGGAGACAGATTCCACACATGCCTGTGGATGATTCCCAGAGCAAAACCCCACCCCTTCTATCAGCTTAGCCTCATATAGTCTGAGCCACAGTGACGGACCAAAAATGGATCTTAGAATATGAGGGGAAACACAAGGAAACATAAACTCCTGCTGCAAATAAATAAATAAACAAACAAATACATACATACATACATACATACGTACATATATACATACATAGATACATAAAAATCCATGTTGGAAGTTGTCACAAAATAATTTATTTTAAAAGATCACGCTAACAACTATGTACTGTACAAATCTAAAACGTGAACATAGCTGTGCACATGTTTAGTTGCTGTGCCTCAAAAAAAGAAATATGAAGGTCTAGCAAAAGTGTACCCACCATGTTGGGTGTGTATGTGTGGAGCGACTCACGAATGAAGAATGGTTACAACACTCAGAGTTTATATTTTAGATATGATAGGCATGTATAAAATATGAAGGTCTAGCAAAAGTGTACCCACTATGTTGGGTCTGTATGTGTGGAGCGACTCATGTATGAAGAATGGTTACAACACTCAGAGTTTTTATTTTAGATACAGTAGGCATGTATAAGGGACATGGCGGCGCTGCGGGTTAAACCGCAGAAGCCTCTGTGCTGCAAGGTCAGAAGACCAGCCGTCGTAATATTGAATCCACATGACGGAGGGAGCTCCCGTCGCTTCTCCCAGCTCCTGCCGACCTAGCCATTCGAAAGCATGCAAAAATGTGAGCCAATAAATAGGTACCACATTGGTGGGAAGATAATGGCATTCCGTGTCTAGTCACGCTGGCCACGGTAACTGTCTACAGAGAATCACTGGCTCTACAGCTTGGAGACGGGGATGAGCAACGCGCCCTAGAGTTGGACACGACTGGACTAAAATGTCAAGGGGAAGCTTTACCTTTACATAGGCATGTATGCAATTTATACATGGTGTGCTGAAAAGATACAGAAACAGCTTTCTACTTCCCTGATACTACTAAAAGCCCGAATCCCCACCCTTTAGAGCTGAATGGTGAGAGATTCCATGCAAAAGCAAAAGATTGCATCAAGTATAAGAAGTCATTTCAAGTCCTTGCTGTTTCGTGCCAGCAAGATGACGTTGTCTCTATATCTTAAATTATTTATGTTTCTTCCACTTATTTCCATTCCTCCGTCCTCTGAATCTATTCCGGCTTTCTGTGTGAAATGCTCTGTGTGCGGATTGAACAGATAAGGAGATAAAATGCACCCTTGTCTGACACTTTTGCCTATAGGAAACCATTCTGTCTCTCCATAGTCTGTTCTTGCCCACAATATAGGTTACACATCTGGAAAATCAAGCGGAGAGGCATATCCATTTATTTCAGAACCCATAGCTTCTCATCATCCACACAGTAAAATATTTTGCTTCTGTGTTGTTTCTTGCTTTTGTATTCCAGTCACCTATAATTATAAGCACGCCTCATTTGGTATGTGATCCCTTTCCTGACATCAACATCGCATTAAACTTTCAATGTCATGCTGATGAATTTTCCCAGAAGTCTGACTGATATTATCTGGTCTGACTTTGCATGATAGCCCCTAGCTGCCTGTACTGCGTCTTCCCTCAGTTTGAGAGCCACTCCATTTTAATCTGAGTTTGTCATTTCCAAAGCAAAACACTTTGTAGCTGTGTGACTGAAAATATCCCGGTCCAATCCACTTTAATTCATCAAGCACTGCAATATTTAAATATTTCCAGTTTACCTGGATTCATATCTCTTACATTCCATGTCCTAATTTATGTGTTGTGCGGCACCAGACTGTCCTTTCATCTCTGTGCAGTGGTCTAGTTCTACAGTTCAGGCAGCTGTACTGGCTTACTTTGCAAGCGTTTTACCCTGCCCTGTTCTGAGACACCAGATGCGGTGTAAATACACTGGAAACACAGGGCAGCCCTAGAACCGAATCCAGACCATTTCCCAATGGGTTCCCATCAACAGAGAAACTGTCACTACGGGGGCCCCTTCATGTGAATGCACGCCTCTTAGCGATAAGAACCACAGCCCGAAACACCAGCTAAAACTGCACACAAAGAATTTTCTGCAGCTTCACTGCAGAACACAACAAGCAGATTAGCAATCAAGCAGATTAACAGGAAGATTAACAATCATGTTTACTTAGAAGGAAACCTTCTGCCCCATGAACTGCATCTTATATCCTAGCAAGGGTGACAACAAGTGGCTCATCGTTTCCTTCACTATCCCAGTTACACACCCATACAGGTTTACAATTGTGTGGATGAAGTTGGTCTTGGTCTCCAGTGACACCTCTGGATGTTTTCTAGTCCCTTCACTGCTGCCCTTCTGAGTCTCGGCCTTCTTCATTCAGTACATCTAATGCCATGAAAAGTTTGCAGGATTCAAAAGTCTGCATCCTGTTGTGTGATACTTTGCTTAGCCTAACAAAAGTAGTGCTTTAAGAGGGCTTTTGTAATGTTTTGCCTTGTTGTGGTTTTGTTGTTTAGTTGTTAAGTTGTGTCCGACTCTTCGTGACCCCATGGACCAGAGCACACCACGCCCTCCTGTCTTCCACTGCCTCCCGGAGTTTGGTACCAAATTAATGCTGGTCGCTTCGATGACACTCTCCAGCCATCTCATCCTCTGTCGTCCCCTTCTCCTCCTGCCTTCACACTTTCCCAACATCAGGGTCTTTTCCAGGGAGTCTTCTCTTTCATGAGATGGCCAAAGTACTGGAGCCTCGGCTTCAAGATCTGTCCTTCCAGTGAGCACTCAGGGTTGATTTCCTTCAGAACGGATAGGTTTGTTCTCGTCGCAGTCCAGGGGACTCTCAAGAGTCTCCTCCAGCACCACAATTCAAAAGCATCAATTCTT